AAGATTTTGCATAGCCCACTTACTTTGAAAGCACTAGCCCTACATAAGTAAAACAAGTAAACTTATATCTGTAAACTTACCATTTCAAATTTTGTTCTAAATGTAGCATTCTGCGAAGAACATTGCTTACGGGAAAAAATTAGAACCAACTTGCAACGCCTTTGCTTAAATCAAGTGTATAAGAAAAAGGGTAGAAAAACAATTTGTTTAAATTTTCTAAACTCTCAGTTTTTTATTCTCAAAAATAGGACCTACTTCTTGGATCAAATGGGCAGTCGTAACGTACACTGATACGAGCTGCAGTCTTGTCTCCCATTTCTGTTCCGTTTTTTGACAAAAGTGAGGAAAATATATGCTTGGGGGTTTTGTTCATAACAATGTCCATCAGAACTTTTCTGAGTGGGAGAATCACTCACGCGACTTCAGTGGTTTCCGCAGAGTCGCGCACACCACAGTATTATCCTGAATCTACGGTCACTCTGACACGAGTCTAACTTATTTGCTCGTGTAGTACTTTGATGTAACGCGAATAAGTTTTGAAAGGTCGATTTATCACATTTTCGATTTATCACATTTTGACCGTGAGTCGAACAGAAATAAAAAATCAACATTAAATGTTCTCATTATAGAATAGTCTTTTATTGTCCGACAATTCTTGTTCTCGGATAGCATCTAATGTTACATTACATCCTTTTCAGTTGAGATTCCCAAAACTCTTTCTCAATGTCAGAAAAACCGGCCTAGAATTCTTAGAACTATGATGCTGAAAGTGTAACGCAAGTTATTAATGAGTGTCGTAACATCACACAGTGCAAAAAGCGTTCCAATATATATGAGACAAGCTAATTGTTCGTAATCAATCCAAATACACAAGTTTTAATAATTAATAATTTATTAATGTCTGCCTAAAACTCCTTACTTGTAATATTTTTCTTCGCCAAAAAAAAATCGACCAGTTAAAGGGCAGTCGGACGATTCAGGGTTTTGCCCTGATATGTGAGCAGTCTTGTTATAGAAAGCAAGTAGGTAACAAAGCTAGCCCTCATGTCTACTTCGTTAGCAAAGTTGGCAAAACTGTTACTCATGAGCACATAAGCTTACAAGTTAAGACCGGCATTTCAAGTACGAAAGCAATTTAATTTTTAGTTTTCATTGTCAAACAATTCTCTTTAAATGAAAGTAAAATCGATTATTTCGGATTTATTTTTACTTGTTTAAAATTAAATAAATCTTTACTAAATCGCATGCTTTTGCACAAAGGGGGTTTGTTTTTCCTTTAATCAAAAGTGAAAGCTGGAGTTTCAACCTGAAGTTAATCTCATTGTTTTGTAAGTCTGCCTGAATATATTGTTTTTTGTACGAAAAAATGCTGTTATTAGAGGAAATAATTGTCAGCTGCAAACTATCAACCCATTTAAATGAAACACCACAAATAATAGCAAGGTCAAGTCACTAAAAAGAACAAATTTTGCTGTAAAAATATTTGATGTGCTTCTTACTGTGCTTTTTTAGCCAGAAGTTAATGACTAAAATAGTTTTAAGTTCTAGTGAATACAAACTGGGTCCAGTTGAGCTTGCAAAAAAATTTTATTAAAAATATTTAAGCAGTTTTTATATAAGTAAAAAATGGGGAAATTGACTGTGAAAACTTTAATTTTTTGAGAACATAAGAGAAATTTATAATTTTGTAATTTTGCTAGTTTGACAAAGAATTCTCAAATATCAAAAAGAAGAGTCAAAGATACCAAAGTATTTGATTAATGTTTTTGTATCATTTAGTACACAGAGGCTAAGCGGAGCAAAATTGAGTGGCTATGATTAGTTTCGTGGATTATCCCAATCCTATGGGCTATTATGGGTAAACGCATAAATTTATACACAAGGGTTAAACGGAATTTCAAGTCACTTGCAACACCACGCAAGCCTAGTATTACAAGATAGCAAAAAAGAAAATGAGTCAGAAATGTCTCAGGTGAAAAAAAGGTTGAAAATAAAACGACCAATTAAAAAAAAATGAAAAGTTAAATTTCAAAAAAAACTGTCGGAACACCAGTTTTCAATTGGCTTTTGTTATTAACCGAGCTATCGGCAAACCAACAATACCTGGGTAGATCCCCTTTGAGCCGAAAACAAAAAAACGTTGCCATAATAATATGCTCTCATGAAATATGTTGAGTTATTATGTTTGAAAACTTTGAACTCTCATACCACAACCAACCTGAACTATTTTTAAAACAATAATACAATAATCAATTTTTACCTTTCAAACGACCCAAAATAATTTGACGGAAACGATAAAACAATAGCTTATTTTATTAAATTCTTATCAAATCTAAACGAAATAAAACTTCAAATCAGGGATAGTAAAATTTTAAGTTACAGGACTTGTAAACAACACTTGCAAATAAAAGTCCTACAATTTAACTTTTCCGAAAAAAATTTGTTTTCATACATACCGAAAAAAACACGGTGCGGTCGGGACTCAAAGCCCAGACCTTAAGGTTCAAAGGCAATCCCGTTACTTTGGTTAAAGTAACAGAAATTGTTTAAGGGACAAAAGTGTTTAAGGGAAAAAAAGAAAATTTTGTCACTGACAAGTTTATTTATTGCAGACAAGCTAGACTAGAAAAAGAAGACTACCAATCCTATCCATAAAATGAAAAACAAGGAAATCTACTTTGATTCAGATTTCAGATACAATGCAGCACTTTTCAAACGCAAGCATAAAAACGGGAAAATCTGGAGTTCTGATAATTGCACAAAAAATCGAATTGATATTACAAACAAGACTGCTCGTATCAGGGCGAAGCCTTGAATGTTCCGACTGCCTTTTAAGGTTTATGGAGCAGTAAAACAGTGCTGATTTAAATTATCCGGACAAAACGAACAAAACATGCATTTTGAAACGCGTTTTTCTCAAATTGGGTTAAGATTAGACAAAAAGTGAAGAGAACAAAAGTTGCTTAGAATTTTCACTTGATAGTCAATAAATGTGATTTTTACAATATAAAATCCAGAATCTCCGTTTAAAAATGAATTTTCAACAGTTTGCGCAAATTTTGGAGACTTAACCCTTCTTAAACCTTGTTGAGCTGCATAAGAGGCTTCTTGTGATATAACTTTCTTATCAATTAACAAAGTAGTTTAAGCGTAATTCTTGATTAATTGAAAAAAGCCAAAATGACCCATTTTTGGGGTAAAATTTTGGTTGAGAATTTCGGAGAAAAAATGGCACCATAATAATTCTGGTGAAATTCTAAGCAATTTTTGTTCTCTTCACTTTTTGTCTAATCTTAATAATAAAGTACAAATGATAGATTTCGCTCCTTGTAACAAATCAATTATGGCAAATAAGCTTCTTTCAACCAATTTGGAACGATTTCTAGGACGGATTAAATCTCCGCTTGCGCGTTAATTGCGCGAAATATATCGCGCGTTCATTGTCCCAAATTGCCAAAATGAAACCTTTAAACCCCCTAACTTCACAAAAATTGATCACAGATGAAATATTTTTTCAAATTTGAGCTCAGGACAACAATACTTTTTGAATGATAAAAAAAATTCCATCAAAAATGGCTAGTTAAAAAGTCGAAATTTGTCTGAAGAAAAAAAAACACCCCGAGCACAAATATTCCGTTACTTTCGCTACGAAAGTCGGAACAATAAACACTCTTTCCAGTGGCCTGGTGGTTGAACCATCAAGCATTTTTATAACTAGTTTGGTTCGCAGCTTTGGCAAACTCACCACGCGTATCAGCCCGATTACATTAACGGATCAAGTTAACATCCTCCTTACTCCACCCAAGTAGACCAAGTTAAGATCCTCCACCCCAGTGCGTTTTTATTAATTTTGCTAAGCGCTGCATATCTTTTCAAATTCAAGCTAAGGAAAACAATAGCTTTCGAATGATATTTAAAAAATCTGTCAAAAATCAGTCAAAAAGTCGAAATTTGTCTGAAGAAAAAAAAACCCACCCCGAAAACAAATATTCCGTCACTTTTGTATCGAAAGTCGGAACAAAAACTCAATTTTGACAGCTAATTGAAATGCAGTAAAAGCTGACCTAGTCGCAGGGAACACAAAAATCTTCAAATTAGCTTGGAAAACGTTTTAAAGTTCTGCGTTTTTTTACTGTATTACTGCTTGTGTAAATATCTTCAATTCTGATATCATCACTGATCCAATCTCAATCAAGTCTGATCAGAAACGATTTGAAAGTGTACATAGTTGTTTTAGATCTCTGTCGATCCTCTTGTTGAAAGTTCGGCGCCTCTTGTTTAGCCGACCAATGACAAGCTTATTTTTCGGAGTTTTGAAGAAAGTGACTGATTATTAGTGATTGGTTTGGCTTTTTTGTCAGATTAATTTGAACTTTTTATACCGTTCTGGGAAATTTTGAAAAAAAAATCTCAACAATATCAACATTTGAATATTTTTTTAAAACTTCACCTTTTTTTTCTAAATCCAATTATTTTTTCAAAGAGCTGAAAAGGCAGTCCGAACACTCAAGGTTCCCCGCTGACAGTGCCTTTTTTCTAAATTTGATTTAATTTAGAATGCTATCTTAGTTTCAAGTTCTCACTTGGATTTAAAATCATTTTTATTTCTTATTGATCAACAACTCTTGGGAAATCAAAACGCAATAAAACTGTAAATTACAACCTCAAGTTTAAATTAGTGAAAACAATGGTGTCTTGTTTTATGACCATATGCGAAGAATGCATATACTGCAGGGTTATGTTGATTAGCTGTGTGTTAAGTATGAATAGGGCTGATTTGAAATCAGGAGGGGGCTCTCAGTTATGTGGATTGCAAATATATTGTTTGGGTTAAGTCTTCTGGGAATCATTAATTTCATGCCTTTCATCTCACAGTCCCTGCCTTCTTTAATCCTACAAAATCTCTACCCGCAATAACATCTTACGAACAGCCGTTCTCTTATCAGAGCCTCAATTTAGCATAAGTTGCCCCAAACATACTATTTCAGTTGAAGTATGATCCCACCTTTAGGTCAAGCGGCAATCATTAGAACAGTTCTGTTGTGCCTGAGAATAAACATTACCTGAGTCTGACTGGAAACCCGTTTAAACGAGAATTTACTCTATGAAAGGCAGGTTGCGAAGATTAGCTATCAAAATTCGCCAGCCCACTTGGTATTTATTTTGATATACTGCAGCTATTTTATTTTATATTTTATAGTACAAATCAATAAATAACCGCTAAATCATTCCATTTGAGTTTTCAAGCTAAAAAAACTTATTATAGTTAGTTTATAACGAAATGATTTTAAAAAGGTTTTCTGAAACCTATAGTTATTAATAAGTTACATAAATAATTCTGGAATTCCGGAATTCTTGCAAACAGGTTAGTTTTGATATGCTTAAAAAAGCAATAATTCAGTTAAAACAATATCTTTATTGTCCCGAGCCACTGTCGTAGTTTTTTAAACAGAATAGGGCGACCAAAATTTGCCATTATAATTTGACCGACAAACAACGGAGCAAAAGATTAAAATACCAAATTTTGTTGGTTTTTGGGATTTTGTGATCGTTCAAAATGGGTCCGCGAATTTTACCATCTGGCAACTTTTATTTGATGATTGTTTCAAATATACAAGTCTTAATACGAAATTATTGAGACTTACCTGACACACTTGTTAACAAACCTGTAGGTCCCATTGTACTATCCCACGCAGTAAAAATGTTTCATAAGAGCTTCGCGCCACTTGCCATGTGCTTCGCGCCACTTGCAATGGAAAATAACCCTTTAAATAGAACTGAACCAATAAATAGAACAAAAAACTTAAAATATTCTCTCGCAAATAAATTTAAAATATGCAACAATATCCAAAATTTTGGAACTGAAAAAAAATTCACCCTCACTAATTTTACTCAGAGAGACAAAACATTCGGCTACATGCCATAAAACCCCTTTAAAGCAGGACAAAATAACCGACAAAAACAGAGATGAGAGCCGTTGAATCAAATTCAAAAAAAATTGAACAACTAAAACTTTTCTTAAATTTGTCTTGAGTTTGTCTTGAATAAAAATTTATGTCATAAAAATATGCCAAAGTAAGAAAACTGAATATTGAATCAGCATCAAAACAAAACTTTAATGTTGAATGAGCATCGAAACAAAGAAGTAACAGAGCCGAAAATTCTTAAGCAGACACATGTTGCGTCGAAAAACAAACTGTTTTTATTGGAAAAGTTTAGAAACTCAAAAAGTTTTTAGGTACCCCTCAAAACTCTTACATAAAAACAGTTTGCTCCTCAAACATCTCAGAGGTGCCTCTAATCTTATAAGCCGAAACCTTTTGAGCCGAGTAAGGACAAAAAGGGAAGAAAAAACGAAAACAAAAACTGGTTTATTGAAATCGGAGTCTGTCTATTTGCAACCAACATAAAAATTTGGTTAGAACGGGCCTTTAAAATGCAGGCATCCTCAAAAATTGTCTGCTTTCCATCTTCCATTTTGTTGACGAAAGTAGAGATGACCAAATTTGCAGTCATTCCGTAATCAAATCTGTCTACCGGAAAAAAGTTATGTACTCAGTTGCAATATCCTAGCTTATCTCAAGGGTATTTATCATTATTATTGATCAAAATGAAAATGTGATTTTTATTTTTTTTTTCAAAATAGTTGAAACGCGAAACTTCCATATTGTGGTATCTATTCTACGAACATCAAAATATATCATTCTTAAAAAAGAATTTTTTATGAAATCACATTTAGTCCAAAAACAAACGTTTGATTCGAATGGCTGTCCTCTCGATATTTTGTGCCCAAACCATTGCGTCTTTCTAAACTATCACTGATAGAAAACTATTATTACCATGTTTTGTAAGCTAATTAAAAAACTATCTAAATAATCTCTTTGGAATCTGGACTTAATTGCGTTCAAGTTTAACTGGCTAGGGCTGAAATAACGTGGTGTTAAGTTGTTAAGTTGTGTTAATGTGGTGTTAAAAGGACTAATTTTGATGTGGAAGCGCGAGCCAAAGACGTCATTTTTTGTCCAACTGTCCAAAAAGAGATGGTTTGCATTTTTGGTGGTTCGCTTTTTTTAAAATTTAGACTGCAGCGCAAATCAACTTGGCAAAAAGGGATCTTTTTACTAAGTAAGGAGCCCTCGGAAAATAACTGATCTAAAAAAAGTCGATACATTTTTTGAAAAAATAATTGAAAACCGTCCCCAGGAAAATCCTATATCCGCCTTTGATTTTACTAGCGCAAATTTTTAGTAATGTTTGCGAAAGTCTTTAAGAAATTTTATTTTTTAAATCGTTCCCCAGCTTTAAGTTTTTTGTCTTATTCTTACATGGGTGAGATGATTGAAGTAGGCAAAAAATCAAAAAAATTTATTAAAACCGAAAACAACAAGATAGTCAGAGTTTACACTTTTTCTCTTATTCGAAGTAAAATCAGGCAGCTTTCTAAAAAAACACAAATGAACTTTTTTGAACTACTTTTTGAAACTACAAAAATGGTCTTTACAAAACAGCTATGTTCAAGGCTGTTTTGCTGCTACTGAAATTGTTAAAGCAATCTATGTCAACATTTTTTATCGCTTATTGAGTGTGCTAGGAAAAAAAAATGAACAAATTACAAGTATAGCCAGCTCCTCTGAAAGTTGAACAGAAAACAAATGATTGTAACCAACAGTGGGTTATTCTACGTATACTAAGTAAAAAAACAAAATTAGCTTAGAAAAAAAAAATTTTGGCTTCAGTGAACAAAATTTTTTCGCAACTAATAACAAAAATGAATCGTAAAACCTTTCAACAAAAATTCTTGCATTTTTTATTTCAAATTATTTTGATAAGATTAAGTTTTCTTCACAGTATTTTAAAAGTCACTCGAATGTAGGGTCATTAATATGAAATATCTCAATCTGTTCTGATGATTGATTGTGGTACGTGATTTTGGGTGGACAATCAGTAGATAAAAATTTCAACAATCCCGAAAATTATGCTCCCTTGATGAAGGATCGGAACAAAACAAATCCAGTTAGTTTAAGAGCCAACAAGACTGCTGGTATATCAGGACAAAGCCCTGAAAGATCCGACTGCCCCTTTAACCATATTGATCAGATTTTTGGTAAAATAAAACATTGAAAAACTTTAAAATTTGGAGAATATCAATGATCAATGTGAAAATTTGAGTCCTAAGAAATTAAGACGACCAATTAGCTAGCCTCAATTTAGTTTGGAACAATTTTGTTGTGTGGGATAATTCACCGCGCATAAATAATTCACGTTACGCTTCAGGATTATGGATAAAATTTTAGAAATGAGCATACGTTAGTCCAGAACATGGCCAAATTGGCAAACTTCAAGCTGCCAAAACTTTGCAAAAATTATCGGAGTTGAAAAAATTCTTTTTAAATTTGATTTCAGGGAGTCGATATTTTCAATGGCCATAATTTTTTTTAAAAGTATTATTTCGATTGCGGAAAATTGACTGAATAAAAAATCACCACAAGTATAATTATTCTATTTTCTTCGAAAGTCGGAACAATAAAAAATAAGTTCACTGTTTTTCGCTCAGACAAAAAGCAGCAGTGAGTCGAAGTTCAGAAAAAATAATAAATTTTTGCGCACATCAAATATTATTTTTTGATTAATTATTATTCTGACTTTTGCAACGAAAGTGAAAGTAACGAAATATTTGTGCTCGGGTGGGTTTTTTTTTCTTCAGACAAATTTCGACATTTTAACTAACCATTTTTGACAGAATTTTTTACTTTATTCAAAAGGTTTTGTTATCTTGAGCTTATGTTTGAAAAGATATTTCACCTGTGATTGTTTTTCTTAAAGTTATGGGGGTTTAAAATTGCCATTTTGGCCAAACTGGGACAATTAACGCGTGATATAATTCGCGCTATTTATGCGTAAGCGGAGATTTAATTCGTCTTAGAAATCGTTTCAAATTGGTTGAAAGAAGCTTATTTGCCATAATTGATTTGTTACTAGCAGCGAAGTTTATCATTTTCACAAAAAGTCTCAAATTAAAAAAAAATGTTTTCTTGCATTTAATTTTTTCATGCTATTACTGCTTCATATACCTTAAAAGGCAGTGTCGAACATTCAAGGCTTTGCCCTGATACGAGCAGTTTTGTACACATTTGAAGGCACATTGATTTCACTACTCTTTCGTGATCTTCCATTTAGCTATCAAGATTTCTATTGGAGCAAAATTTCAATTCCAATTTGCAAACAGTGGCTGACCGCAAGATTAACTAGAGAAACACTGATCATGATAATGGTAAAAAAAAACCATTTTAAGAAAATCCGTGACACGAAGTTGGTCACAAATTGCAATTAACACCTCTTAAATTGTAATTACAATTATGGCAAAACTTAGACAAAATTAGTTTTGGCTCACAACAACATTCGTTTGTCTAAGTTCAAGTGCTTTTGAGGTTAACGGAAAGGGTTTTTAAATCAGTATGTTTTGAAAACTTGTAATCTTTTTGATGGAATGTGAGATCACCATCACATCTGAGCTTGATTGTTAGTGCCTAAGCAATTTTTGTTTCAAAGTTAAGTACTGAAACGTATCCAACATATAGCAGATGTCTTATTGAGACCAAGCTCCAAGTTTATCACTTTTTGACATAAAAAAGTTAGTTTTGACTTAAATAAATTTGCTGCATTTGTTGTTCTAGCGGATCTTTTGTTTCCGAGAAAGTAACTAAAGTAAAATGCTCGCGGTGATTTTTTGTTCTGTCTAACTTTGTCTCTAAACAAAAAGTTCTTATGAAGTCCTTCTATACCAGCTGAAATTCATCTAAGACTTCACTTCAAATCTGTCTTAACTTTTTATCTGTTCATATGTTTTCTTACATTATGAGGTTTCGAAGTTCTTGAGACGAATCTATTTGGTATAATTAATGCATGCCTTTTATGTCTTTTCTATTGAAGATAGCTCCGTCTGAAAATTTATTCTAAGTTTTTGAATTTCGCAAACCAATAACTTGACAAAAAAAATTATCACGTCTTTTTTTAATATTGTCACGAATATTAATTTTGATGTATGTAAAGTATGGTCTCCTAATATTACTTTTCACTTGGTCAAAAACGGCGTGTTATCAACAAAATTTGCCCGAAAAAAAACCAAAATGAATCAGACTCGAAACTTGTGAAGAAACGAAAATTCGAGTTTTTTTTGGAGCTGAACAAACCAATTTTTGAGCTAATAAACTAAAAAACTGATTTGCCAAACTTTTCTGGTTTGCAGCATTGCGGGAAACTTTTCATAATGTGTTATAATGTGTCAATCAAAATTAGCTTTTATAGACACCCAGAATATTTTTTGTCGTTTTTAAGGGAATTTGTTTAAGGTGAGATAGAAGAAAAAGCAATCTTCGCAGTCGAAACTTTCCAAAAATTGTCTCACTGCCGAAAATTTGCCACTATGCTCTTTAAAGGCATCTATTGGAAATAAACGTGTTTTGTCTCGCAGTCTCCGAAATGGTGTACAGAAAAGGTCAAAGTCGAAACTTAGATTTAAAAATGTGTCGGAGTCGGCTAAAATTTTGAAGCAATAACATTGTGACAAAATGGGTGGTTAAATTCTGCGTGTTGCATTCCTGTAAGGGTATGTATGGGAAGACGCCCGCACCTCCCTAGTTCCGCTACTCTGTAATACTCTCGTAAGTTTTGTTAAACCTTGGATTAAAATTAGGTGGAATGTTGCTTGGTTATACTACTATTTTTACTGCTTGCAATCTGGATTAGATTTGCAATTGAAACCTTAAATCTCCGCTCGCATCAAAGTGTGCCACCCGGCTATTTCTAGATCACAAAGCGCTTATCCTGGAATGAATTTCGCACTTAACATTTTCTTAAACATTTCAAATTCCCTAATCCTAATAAACGAAAATAAAATCCGTAATACTTTTTCAATTGTAGAATCAGATTTAAGATTTATAGACTGAATATTGTTACGATCGCCACAAAGACTATTTGAATCGCCAGAAAAGCTTTTTCACATTTCCTTAGAAAAAATTCAGGAAGCCTTAAGTACGGTCCTTACCATAGATAGTAGTTGAAAATTTTCAGAATATTTAGAAAAAAAATCAAAAATAAACACAAATTGCCTGACAGCTATCGTAGAAGTAAATGGAAAAAAAACTGATAAGATAAGACGCATAGCAACTATTGAAGAAAGAAAGCGGAAAACTACCACGTTTCTAAACTTATAAAAAATTTATGTTTTCTATATTTTTGAGCCATTTTTCATCTGCTTATTACCTGTGTGTACTGCAAGCGCCATGGGATTCAATATTTTAAAAGACCATACACAAAACGAAAGATAATTCCAATAGAACAGACGCCTGAGCGCAGAAAAAATCGAATAAATCTATTTGATCTTCGCGTATTGTTACTACCTTAAAATTAAAATTAGGTCTCAGGCTTATTACAAAAAACAACAACTAGAAGTACTGCTAGATTGAATTTCATCACCCCTATCAGTATTATGAGGTCGAACTTCAGATATAGTCACTTAGCTGCTCCGTTTATCCAAGGGAACTTCATTTCAGGTGAAGCAGAAAGTGCAAATAATTTGGGGCCATTTGACCACCTTATCGACTTATCATCGCAACTCAACGCGACTATAGCCCTGATTCATTTTTCTGAAATCAAACCCCAATTCGATTCAATTTTTTCACACTTATTTCACCATCATTTTCCTTTTGTAAAGCTACCTCTGGATGCTAAAATAAACTGAATGAAATCCGAACAAAAGTTAATCAATTCTGAATCGAAATGAAAAAAAAAATCTACCCAATTTTCAACCTATTTCTAGCCCTTCTATTCAAATCTAGTTTCCTAAATCTTCAATGCTTACCAAGTCTCTTTTGTATTGTCCTTTTTATGATGCGAACTGTGCTTTTCCGTCCTTTTGAAAAAGATTGTTAATTTTTTACAAGCCATTTGTTTAAATTTGATTGTCTATTTTTGCTTCGATTCTCTTCACGGCCCAATTTAATCCCAATTCCCTTTTATTTTTGTTCAACCGCACAGGGCAACTCAATTAAACGTAAAGAGACGCTTTGCCGTTGAGGGGGTCGCAAATTTCAATTAAAAATGAAAACACTAAAAAACGCGACTTCTTACCCTAAAATGGGCACTCTAACGAAGATGGTCCGAAACCTTATTTACATCACATACTTCACTCTGGTTTTCACATCAATCATTATTCTTTTTGTGAATCTACCCCCTATATTCGAAACTCAAAACAGTGATCTCCAAGACACGGAGGGTTTGCCTAAATATGCAAAAAGTTCTCGAGAAAGGCTGAGGAAAAACTACCGAGGTGATCAATTGGCTGAAAACATTCCAGAAAACGAGAAACCATTCCGCTGGATGGAAACGCGTGAAAACTTTGCAAACGCTGAAACGAAGCAACGAACATCTCAATTTCGTAACTTAACAAATCTTCTGCAACATAAATTATTTCTTTCCAATCTCGCTCAAATCTATTCCAATCTAACGTCACCCAAAAAACTTCCATTTATGAGTCATAGCTCTGTTAACCCAGTAGTAGAAAACTTCTATCGAGAGATAGCCAGCGACAGCTTATATCCTGTGAACTCGCCTTGGATTGACTGGATTAAGACATTACTCAAATCGAACAAGATCACATATGCAGAAAACAAAGCAGGTGGTTCTCAGTTGAAACTCTCAGTTAAATACGAAGCGAATCTTTTGGGACTTTTGAAGCCAATGCGACTAACGAGAGACCAGCAAACATTCCCCGACCATTTTTATTTTGTGGACCTGGAACGACACAATGCAGAAATAGCTTCATTTCATCTGGACCAGATTTTGGACTTCAGAAGAGCGCCGCCAGTTGTGGGTCGGTGGATAAACTTAACTGACCTGTGGAGACTTTCTGACCACAGACTGACGCGCACTTTCTTCAAGTCGCCAGCTGACAACACTTGCTTCCACGGCACTTGTGATTACTACTGCCGAACAGAGACTCCGGTGTGCGGACACCCGCACAGTGTGGAGGCCTCGGTTGCACTCTACCTCCCAGACTCCAAATACTTCCCAAGGTCTATGACGGTGCACCCCTACAGAAGGTAAATAATGCACTTATTGAAACTTCAAATGCAGATTTTAATGTTTTGAAACGAAAAAGTGAGCAATACGATTCCAGAAAATCTGAGTTGAAGTTAAAAATAACGTTTCACTTTCATCAAAAAAAAAAATAAACATAACCAACCGTCAAATAGAACAGCCTATATGAGCTTAAAAAGCCGAAAAATATTTTTTTCTTTCTGAAAAAATTCGTAAATCTTCAAAAAAAAATTACCAAGGCGCGACGTTTGCCAGGAAAATTTTATGTTTAACAGTTTTTTGACAAAAAACTGTTTTTGACAAAAAACAAATTAAAAACTCATAATTCAACAAGCTCCTCTCGATAAATGAAATTTTATAGCCCGCTTTGGACCAACCGTAGAAGCCCCTAAAGTATATCATATTGTATCCATCCACCCAAATTGGTGAAATGACTTAGATTGAGATTATTCTTTTTGAGATACTGAGAGGCGCAAAGCAAATCGTTTACATCAAATAGATTTACATCAACATAGTACACAGAGGCGGAGCGGAGCTTCGCATTAATTGCCATACCACGTAAAAATAGTATGCAAGCTAGTAATTAGAAAAAAAAGAAATCAACTTAATGCAAAAAATTGAATAAACTTCGAAACAATTTCTAAAAACATCAACTACAAAAAGTTGCCAGGAATGATGTTATTTTTGTGGAAAATACGCCCAGAAACACAATCGACAGCATTAAAAAAAATCAAAGACACTTTATTAAGCGCCAAGTGTGCCGATAAAATTTAGGCAAACAGCGATAGAGCCGCAACAACATCGTTGTCATGAAAAATTTTGAATTTAAATTTCTCTGCTAAGACTTTTATTGTTTTGTGCGATCCAGAGGGGAGCCCAAAAATATGTTTTCCTTGGTGCGACCAAAAATTAGGTCACTAAAGCAATAAAGCAAAAGCCGAAATCATTTCGGCGGAAAAAAACTTTTAGGAAAAATACGAGTTGATGGAGTAAATCAGAATACTAAAAGCAACAACAATGAAAGTTGCGTACACAAAAATAGTAAGATGTGCCAATAAAACTAACAAAAAGAAAGGCAGACAAGCAATAGGCCGACAATTATTTTTTGAAACAGAGCATTTCTCGTTTAAAAAAGGGGCCTTGGTCAGATTCGAACCAAGGATCTTTGCCGCCCCAGCCGTATTCCTTTTATTAAAAAATTCCGCGTAGACCAAAAGTTCCGGGGAGACGCCAAAAATTGAATGCATTATGAACCAAGCTGCCAGGTGATTCAAGTAATTTTGATGAACAAGTTGTTAACCTGAAAAAATACAATTTTCCGAAATGATAATGCTCGCAAAACGCATGCTTAATTATCATCGAACAACTCCTCTGAATCCATATTAAATTGCTTCAAATCAATTGTTTTGTTTGATATATAGTTTTTAAGATGTGCTATAATGGAGCAGGGGTACGTTCCTCTTCGGGTTCAAACATTTTGTCATCTCTGTCAATACTTCTTACCTTATTTTTTCAACGAAATCTGAGTTTCTAGTTTCTGTAGACCTATTTTTCATATTTCAAGGTTTTTTTTCGCCAAATTTAACGCCTTTTTGAGTATTTTTAAGAAAGTTCCGTATAATTTTTTTGATGGTTTCCACTAACACAGCGGCGAATGTACTATTTGCTAACACAAGCGTTAAAAATGCGAAAAATATCTCTGCTAATTCTGGCCAAAAATACTCAGATAAACGCCTGCTGCGCCGAAAACAAAAGGGGTCTCGTACACAATTGTGAATTTTTGCTTCCCTAAGCTCATATACGCACAAAAATCTACTTTAGCTCTTGAAACGATGAAATTTGAGGCAAATAAGCCAATTTAACAAAAAAAAATTGTTAAATTTTTGTGAAACCAGTTAAACCAAAAAAGACATCATAGGCAAAAAAGCTATCTGAATCTGTAGAAAAATCTATTTAAATTGAGCATCATCTCAGTTTTATCAAGGCCGGTTAACATTTAATATAGTTAAATCAAGTTGCATCAATTCAGTAGCCAAAATTGATTAATTCAAACTGTTTATCAATTTGCAAGCAATCAGCTAAATTGAAATTTTCAAACTCTCAAACAAGTGTATAAAATGCTAATTTTAATTCCATACTTTCCTTCGAACCGAACTTATAAATATCGGTAGACTTCAAACTAAAAAAACAAGCCAACAAAATGAGAAAAAAAATCTGCATGGATTTGAAACCTGCAATGAATCTTGCAAATTTACCTAAAAAAACGTCCCAAAACATCAAACGTTCACTTTGTTCATTGACAAGAAACAAAAAATCCCACGACATCGATTTTCTTTTGTACTATGTTTCCTGAATAATGTACATGTAATCATAGAAGCTACACCAAATCGAACCAGGAAGCGTGGGTGAAGGACACCACGTACTGCAAATCGAAAGTGCTGTCTGACCCGAGTTATTCGAGTGACAAGAGGAAGATCTTCGACATCACAGATCTCGCAATCTACGATTTCCTCATCGGTAAGAATATATTGAAGCATACCTTTCCATATAACTTGATCTTTGATTATATCACTCGAGTGAAACATTGTTTCGTTCTCATGAGCATATATTATAATTAAGTTGGGTTCTGTTCTGTAGTATGAAGAACAGATTTGTTTGTTCAAGGGCTTCTTAAGTTTGCGTCAACCAATAGATATCTGTAAGTTTAACTATTACGCTCAAGATTTGAGACTGTTAAGATTTAAGTAATGTTAAAAAAAATTAGGATAACACTCGTAGATGATTAAGAGTGGCAACTTAAACTAAGACTAGATTAAGACTAAGGTTGGTTAAGATTCCTACAATAAATGTAGGCTTTTATTTAAGACTAAATAAAAGACGGTGATGCTAACTGAAGTAAGAGATGTTTAAAAGATTGAATTAGTTCCGGTTGATTCGTTGCATATCATAAAAGATAATGCGCAAATTCCAAGTCTACCAAAAGCCGTTGCGCTTTTGGCAGGTGTATATAAATTAACAACATAAAGGTCAACGATCAGTATAGAGGTTAAATGATCAAACAATAATACTTTTTACATTCCCCGCGAAAATTTATCTAAAAGCTATTACTTTCGCCTAGCAAGGAAAAAGAAAGTAATTAAGCGCTCGGGTGAATGAACAAGTGGGCTCGTTGTCCAAGACCCCCAAAGTGGATCTGGATTGCTAGAGACATAATCTTGGTAAAACATCGAGGGCCAAAAGAGCTTATTTCATACTAACAAAAATTTAATACACGGTTACAAGGTCGAAGGAACGGGTGACGGTTCGGGAAGGACAGTGCTGACAGGCCCGATGGGCCGGAAGACGTATTCTTTAAGTAATAACACAAAAGAACAAAAACAAAGCACCTTAGGTCAAATAGCATGCTTTCGTCAGGTAAAATTAAATTTAAGCCAGGTACTATGGACGAGCAAGGAACTGGAGTAGCACTGGGGTGAATGAGGCAGTAAGATAGGCAGGGAAGTATCCCCGAAGGCAGGCCAAAATAACAAGCAGTACTAAGATGGATAGATCTAACGGTTATGCAGTGGTAGCACCCAATGGGCGAAAGTGAACTTTAACGACATTCAAACAAGGTTATGGGGCTCAAATAAAGCTTTAGTGTTATCAAAGTAATCTAAGTTTTTGGCGTATTATGCGAGCGCTGGCAGTTTATAAGACTCTACAGGCGATGGAATGTTAAGTAGCATTCAACAATACACAGGATACTAGGGTACTAAGAGTTTTAAAGAGTTTATGAAAGTTTATGATAGCATCAGACTGAAACTCCTACTTCTCAATCGTTTCCCGATTTGCCGCTTTGTTGATTGTCCATCTCCTTAACTCCTCCAGCGTCATTGGCCGTCCTAGGATTTCTATCGCCGAAATGATAGAGGAAGTGTTCAGCCAGTCTGGGTTAGGTACAGTGTGAGCAGAAGTTGAAGATAAGGTTTCGGAGGGTAGGCCCGATGGGTCAAATTGAGTGGTACAGACCTCAGGACTAAATTTGACCTTCTTATGAGTAGTATGTTGATCATCTGCTACCGAGGACTTTGGATCACTTGGGTAGGCAGGGCTTTTTTCCCGCAAGTGAATTATCGTGGGACGCGAAGATGAAGGTGGTGTTAAGGTTGTCAGGTCTACTAAGTCGACTTGGTGGCTTTCCATTTCTACGGTAGTTGCTTCTATCGTTGTGTAAGCTGGGGCAGGCCTAGGTGGATTAAATAATGGGCCGTCTTGATCTTCATTTGTTAAATCGACTACACTGGTAAACACTCTCTGGCCTAGCATCTTGGGAGGCTGTCTAGTTCGCATAGGTCTGGTGTTCTGTAGTGTAAAGATTTCTGATAATTTCTTCGAAGGTGGTGATTTCGTTGGAGATGACGCTTTCCTCTTCGCGGTACCGGACAGTTTCGGTTTCTTAGTGGCAAGGTCGGAGTATGGTTGCTTAGATTCCGCCTCCGCCATGGCGATTGGTTCTACACTAATCTCGGTAAATTCCCGTCCGGGATTCTCCGTAAAAAGCGGCTTTTCTTTAATCGGTTGGTTGGCCTCCTCCATCGTGTCCAAGAGAACCAACTGTGGGGTCACATGTAGGTCCCTTTCCTTGTCACCAGAATCCAAGTCGATCAGGGGAACCTTATCCGACTCGACCTTCTGTTCAACATGGTCCGGTATTTCTGGCTTACGATCTGTTCGGTCGGAGATTAGGTGTTCATCGAAATTTGTAGCTTCGAGTAATGTTTTATCCTTGAGATGTTTTAGCGAAATTAGGTCGCTAGCATTATCGTCTGAAATCTCTTCGTGTGGTTCGATCATCAATCCAGGTTCATTTACGCAACTTTTCCGAAGGTCGGGTTTACCCGACGGGCTTGATTCTTGGTCACTTTCAAGGCCTATTGGGGTTCTCAATCTCTTCCTCTGTTCTTCTTCCTCTCTGAGAAGAGTTTCTCTAGAGCTGTTCATGGCCGCGTTTCGTCTCGCAATATCAAGCTCTTCGAATTTCCACTGGAGGTTTCTTTTCTTTTGCGTCGATCTTGAGCTTTTAAATCCGACATTTCTCGGCGGTTTTGCAGTTTTCCTCAGTCCTTTAGTCGCATAGAATACAACTAGTTGATCTCGTTTTCTCGGGCTGGGTTTCTTCTGGGTACATTTTCTTTTAATGGCTAAATCAGATTTACGTATTATTTTACCATTTTTTAAGGTAACTGTGTGGTCTGACTCCCTAACAATTTCATCCTTGAGTACTCTATAGAATGGTTCACTTTTCGTTCTATCTTGGACTTTTCGATAAATAATGGTCTTACCCGGCGGGTTATTCAGTATTGAGTCCTTTATGCCCAAGGCATCTCTCTTTTCTGCCCGAGAAAGCACTTTTACTGGGGATCCAGCACTGGTTGGTACGTATCTCACTGCATTTGAGATATCCTCCGAGGACGATGAGTTTTCGTCAACATCTCCATCTTCTATATCATCGGGGGCGTCCCAGTCGTGTCTTCAATCTCGGTTCATTAGTTTTTTGCCCTTATCTATGCATAACAAAGTTTTATTCCAATCAAGGTTTTTCGAAGAGGGTGATTTGACCAAATTATGCCAGATGGTGTTTGGGGATCTACCAAAATGTGCTTCGAAGGGAGAGCAGTTTAGCGACTGTTGAGTTACTGTTCTTAAACATTTTATTATTTTCAAAAGTGCAGATTCTAGCGAAGGTTTTGGACGTTCTTGTGCCATAACCAAGAGTCTTTCCTTAATGGTTCTGATTAGACGTTCCACTAGTCCGGTAGCTCTATGATCACCCACTGGGCTAAATATCACTTTTATATTGTGATCGTGGCAGAATTCTCTGACTTCCTTGGAGATAAAACCAGATCCTTGATCTGTTCTAATGGTTCTAGGTATCCCGTGTAAAGCAATGTATTTACTAAGGAAGTTTATGATAGATTTTGCCGATGTGCTGGATGTTATTTGGGCTGATGGGAATTTTGAAAATCTGTCCACGCACACTAATATGTATTTTTTTGTTCCCCATACTAAAGGTAGCGGACCGGCAAAATCTAATTCCATTTCTTGATTTGGCTCTTCGACCGTTGGGAGTTTCCCTAGGGTATTGTGTTTTATAAGAGGTTTCAAGTTTTTACCTGCTTTCACGCACTCAATACAGTTTTCGCCGTGGACTTGAATTTCACGGTAAATCTTCGGCCACCAGATGTATTGAGTTGCCCGACTTTTCATTGCGAACTGGCCAGGGTGAGCTTCGTGTAGTCGGTTGAGCATTGTCGATCTTAGGCATGCTGGGATAACTAACCGATTGTCCAGATAAAGACATCCTCCGCTGACATGTAAATTATTTAAGTACGATTTATAGTAGTTTCCCAGTTGTAGAATATCTTGTTTGCGGTCTTCTTCAATTGCTTTAATTATCTTTTTCAGAACTAGATCTTGTTTTGATAAGAGGGTCATAAATTTTGAATCAAATATTTCTGGCCAGGAAAAAGGGAATATACTGACTGTTTTCTTTTTACTAGGTGATCTTTTCACGGGATTATCCGACGGGTTACTGGTGCTTGGTGTTAAAGAGTCCATGTTTTCATTAGCAATAAGTTCTTTCTGTTGGTTAATTTCAATTTGTTCTGCCATTTCTTTCAGGATGTTAAAATTCGTAAAAAAGTCGTTTATTTTGCAAGATGAGTCACACTGTTCTGTACGCGAGTGAGAATTTTGGCACACTGAAATGTTGGAATAGTTAGCTATCGCTTGGAACGTTTCAGCGGCATTAGCAATTCGTTTCTCACGTTCTATTTCTTGACTGGTCATATGATCTGTTGACTGGCCAATCGTATTGCAGGAAGTGACGTCATGTGCTAAGAAATGTTGAGAGAATTTATTTCTTATTTGCGACCACGAGTTTCTCGGCATTAGATGATCAAAACCTAGGAGCGTACTAATCTGATTTACTGAACCGATAACAAATTTTTCGTCATCCAGAGAAACTGGTACGGGTTCACCCGATGGGTGTCGGGATATATAATCGACGAATCCCATATCTTTACCGGGTAAATGTTCGACGGTAAAGTCGAACGGTAGTAGTTTGTCCGCCCAACGGGTGAGACGTGATTGGGCCGTTTTAGTATATTTATCGTCTTTCAGTGCTCCTATTAAGGCTTTGTGGTCTGTTAAAATTGAGAATTGTTTGCCCAATAGGTAATTTTTGAAATGGTCTAGTGCCCACACTAATCCCAGTAATTCGAGTTCATTAGTGCTATATTTTAATTCAGCAATATTCAAAATCTGCTAGCGAACGCTACGGTCTTCCAATTCCCACGATGGTCCTGTTCGATGGACGCGCCCAATCCTAAATGTGAGGCATCGCATTTTACTCGAGTGTCCAGTTTTACATCGAAATGATGGTTCGTCACCGTATTACAAATTTCTTTCTTGATTTTTTCAAACGCTTCCGTGTGTACTGTAGACCACTTAAATGGTTTATTTTTTTGCATAAGTTCTCTAAACGGTGTTGATAGGGATGCTAAGTTTGGTATGAACTTATTAATTTGAATAATCGATCCCATTAATGATCTGATATCTTTGATACAGTTTGGTTCCTTCAGGTTTCTGATTGCGTCAGATTTATGTATTAGTGGTGTCGTCCCTTTTGCGTCGATTTTGAATCCCAACCATTCTATGTTGTGAGTTAAGAATGTGCATTTTTCCCATTTTATGGCTAGTCCCTCGTCATCTAGTGTTTTTAACACGTTAATGACTAGCTTTTTATGTTCCTCCTCGCTACCCACGGTGGCGATTAGGATGTCGTCGAGGTAACAGTGGGTATTTGGTAATTTATCCGTCAAACGGTCCATTATGCGTTGAAATTCATTAGGCATATCGCCTAGTCCGTAAAATCCGGTTTTAAAACGGTAGGAACCCGTTACTTCTCCCCCCACGATGTTAAAATTACACTGATTACTTGCCTTTTTAGAAAGCGGTATTTGACTGTAGGCGTATTTTAGATCAATTGATGAAAACCAGATGTTTCTTTCATCGTGGCCGCTAATCGTAACTGCTACGTTGTCAATTAGTTCGATTAGGTTCGGCATTTGATATCTATTACGAAATATCTGTTTATTTAATAGTTTTGAGTTCAATGCTAGTTTGATTGATCCGTCCCTTTTTGCTGTGATCAAGATGGGGGAGATAAAACAATCTTCAGAGCATGTAGATAATTTTTCGATGTGTCCGTCTCTTAGTAATTGATCAATACATACTTTGACTTTAGGGAGAAGATGGATCGGGATACGTTTCCCTTTCACCTGTATCGGTTTTAACGGTTCGTTAAAATAAGTATTAACTACGTAATTCTTTGATCTACCCGTTCTTTTTATGAGGTCTGAAAAGTGTTTTGATATGTATGTTTTAAACTCACTTTGAGATGGTGTCTCTTGGCTTTGATCCTGTTTGTTATCCGATGCGAATTTTATTTGGTTGACGTTTGTCCCAATGGGTGATGCTTTCTGATCTTTCCGTGACTTTGGCCCATTGGGTGGGGGTTGTTTCTGAAATACTACGATTCCCAGATTCGGTAAAATGTCGTTTCCCAGTAGATTTCTTTCAGCCCCTTCGGTGATGAAAAGTTTTTGGTCGTTAGCCTCCCATCCCTTCGATCGGATTCTCACTCGAACTCTTCCAATAATGTTGATTGTACTCCCGAAGCCCTGGTATGCTTTCTTTGTTCTTTCGTCCACAGATTCTAGTTTTAAAAATCTATCTCGTATCTTCAATTCGTGTAGTAGGTCTTTTTTCATGAAAGAAACTGGACTTGCTGAGTCGATTTGAATTTCGGTATAGTACGGGTTGAAATTTCCCAGAGATACTTTTAGTGTCTTTTTCAATTCTAGTCCTTCATGGTTGAATACTGTTCTCACTCCGCGCTCTATTTTGTCTTCTACAGCATTTATTTGGCTATCTGTGTCTACAGCTAGAACTAAGAAATCGTCTAAGTTGACCTCAAATTCGGGATTTTCCTGCGGGTTGGCCCGGGTATTTTCGTTTTCTTGAGGTACTCGATTCTGTTCGACGATGTTCGTTTGTGTTCTTGCTGAACTCCTGCAATGTTTAGCAAAATGTCCTTTGCGTCCGCACGTATTGCAGTTTCTATCTCTGGCGGGGCATGTGATTAAATGTCCTTTTTTGAATTGCTGACCACAGTTGCGGCATTTGTTATTTTCAACGGTGTTTAGGGTTGGTTCATTCTTTACGTATTGTGGTCCTGGTACTGCGTTATAAGTTGGGAATTTTAAGTACTGTTGATGGATTTTAGTACCTTTTTCGTGGACTAATACTTAAGATAGTACGTTTTCTGGGGTCAAGTATTCTATGCATAGTTTCTTTTGGATCTCGACATTTCTCTTGTTTGTGATGAAAATGTCTCTTACTAATTCTGACTCGAGTTCCCCCAGTTTACAATTTTTTGCCAGTTCAGAAAGTATTTCGTGGCATTTTTCTAAGGACTCATGTTCTTTCTGACTTCGGCCAAAAAATTTAAATCTTTCGTATGTTAGGTTTGTAGTGATCGTGAAGGTAGTTTTTAGTAGTTCCCAAAATTCTGCGAAATTGATATCCAGAATTCTTTTGCCAGGGTTTTTAGGAGAGAAGCTTTTCTGTCCCTCTTTTCCGAGTGCTAGGTATAACTGTGATTTTAGCTTCTTGTCTATATCTCCGATTTGGAGTCCGTTGAATTTTGCGTTATCTTCCGCCCTTCTCCTTCTCACTTCTTCGTTATAATTTTGTACTGCTATTCTGTGGTGTTCTTCTTTTTCGGCCCGACGGGCTTGGTCATCAGACGGGTCCGGTGGTTCTACCGTAGGGTAAGTTAGTTCGTTTCTTGTCGGTGGGTTAATTACATCTTCGATGTCTACGGAATCTTTCGCAATAATTGTCAATTGAAACTTTTCCGACCACCTTTCCCAGTCGTGTTGGTTATCGTTTGATGAGTTGTTCCAAAAAAACTCTAGTCCTCGTAGGTTCGATTCGTTAGACTGCGCCATGTTAAAAAAAATTAGGATAACACTCGTAGATGATTAAGAGTGGCAACTTAAACTAAGACTAGATTAAGACTAAGGTTGGTTAAGATTCCTACGATAAATGTAGGCTTTTATTTAAGACTAAATAAAAGACGGTGATGCTAACTAAAGTAAGAGATGTTTAAAAGATTGAATTAGTTCCGGTTGATTCGTTGCATATAAAAGATAGTGCGCAAATTCCAAGTCTACCAAAAGCCGTTGCGCTTTTGGCAGGTGTATATAAATTAACAACATAAAGGTCAACGATCAGTATAGAGGTTAAATGATCAAACAATAATAATGAGACAAGCCGCGACTGGGCATAAACAAGAAAATACTGCGTTTTGCAGTTTTTTTCTCTCAAAAAACTTAATTGTGTGTCTTAGTTTCCAATTAAGTTTTTTTTATAGCAGCTCAAAAATTGCGCCAAATTACACAAGACAAATATATTTATATATTTTAAAAAATCAAAGTAAACTGTTTTTCATCTGACAAAATTTGATTTCTTAGGAAATATGGACAGACATCACTATGAAATTTTTGACGACTTCGGAGAAGACGGATTCATCTTACACTTGGATCAGGGCAAGGCATTCGGCAAACATTCCAGTGACGAACTCTCCATCCTCGCTCCTCTGAGCCAGTGCTGCAAAATAAGGTGGAAAACGTGGCTGGTGCTTCTGGAGATCACAAAAACTTCGAATGGAAAAATAGGAGATCTTTTGCACGATTCTCTGGAAGAAGATCTTCTAAGTCCGGTTTTGAAGCCAGAGTATTATGCAGCATTGGATCGGAGGTTGAAGATAATCATGAAGGAGATTCAAACTTGTATAGACAATAATAGTCCTCAAGATATATTTGATCATCATTTTGGCCAGCAATTCCAAAAGTTCTTTCAACGCCGTCATGCAGTAATGTGAACTATGTATAATAATTGATCAGAACTTCTAATTGTGTAAATAACAGATAATTCTAATTTCTTTAAAGCGCTTAATTTAAGTTTAAGAACTAACAGAAAAGCTTCGTAGTTAAATGCCCGTTTTTATTGAAAAGTGAAAACTAATTTACTGTCATTTATTCAGAAGCATATTAATACCATTTATCACTTTAGGGTCATTTTTTTTGGGGGGGGGGGGATTTAGGAGGACGAGGTCTCAAAGTATCTTACATCCTTTTTTTGCCCTGTTGACGATTAAATTTTGCCACAGGCGTGTTTGAAGCCAATATTTCCTAATGTTGAGGAAGGATCATGCAGCAGAAAATGGCTAAAAATGCTAAAAACTGTCGTTTAACCGAAATTAGCAGCAAACTAGAAAATTTTTTTGCAAAAAAAGAGAGACTTAGCAGTGTTCTGAGAGAGATCGGAAAACCAATTAGGTCAACCTCATATGAGCTGTTTAAATCTTTACAAAGAACCTTTTCAATTACTTTTTCTATAAACTGTTTCTATCAAATTTCTGGGCTGGAAAACGTTTCGCAACTTCGAGCAACGAGCATTTAAGAAGGAGGATTCAAGGAACCAACTTTTCTAAAGACTTTTGGAAAACCTTGATATATCAAATCTTGCTATGTAATGAATCATAACGTATAATGGACAAAAACATTTGAAAAGGGACTTTTTACAACCCCACAAAACATAGAATTTGAGGTAAGACCAGCGCTAAAATCGATGCTTGTTCCAAATCGTACACAAACAAACATCAATCTGAGTACCCTGAGCTTTAAAAGTCAAGTTTCAAACTATGTGGATCGAGCTTTTGGATAGTGCACGCATACCATTTTACGAAATTATCAAGCCCCACAAAGGCTACCATTGATTGGTACTATTGGCTGACTTGGCCATTTCAACGGGGAATAATTCCAAAAAAGGTTGCTTTTTTATCGCTGTATTGATCTATCACATCAGACATGTTCAGCGTTTTTTGTAACAGCTACAGAAAAAAAATTGGATGAACCATCATGATTTCTCATCCGTTGATTTGTCATTGAACTGTATTAGACGGATTTAATTACAAATCGTCCAATACAAAGAGAACACATAACTTTAATTTCTTTAATTTTTTTTTGTATATAATATTGGAAGACTAATTTTGACTCTTATATAATAATTTTCGACGGAAAATTTGTAGACCATTTTGAACATATCAATGTCTTTCCGATCGAAATTAAAAACAGTATTTCACTTGCGATCATTTTCTCAAATCAAATTATGGTGGCTTGAAAATGGCCAATTTGCAAATTGTTGGGTTAATATCAGCTGTGGATTTAACTGTGGGCTCTTAGAATGCATTTTCATCTCGCATACTACATTTGATGAAGCAGCAAGTTTACCTCCGACGTAAAATTTTGTTCTTGCGATAACTGCAAACATGGGGAAATCAATAATTAGTATACAAATTGCAAATAAATCCAGTTGAAAAAAATTTAAGGAAATCGACTCATTAATTAGACTTCTATTCCACTTAACTTTCAACCCTCTAAAAGTTTTTTCATCTTAAAGTGCACACATTGCTGATTGAAATTAGTCTTTCAGCAGATCTAAAATGGTTTAATTTGCTTTGCGAAATTAAGGACCAGTATTTCATCCCAAAAATGGATCATTTTTTGGCTTTCCAGTCAATCCAAAATTACGCCAAAACTACCAAGTCAATCACTAACAAATAATATCAAGTGAGCCTCTTAGGTAGCTTAACAAACTTTAAGATTATACTCTCCAGAAAAAATAGAGAACGTTTAAAAATTGTTTTATATAGTAAAAACTTTTCTTTTTGTTAGTTGGGTTACATGGGCGGCTCACTTTGAAGTAATTATGACAGTAATCGACTAAGTAGTTTGAGGTTTTTGAATGACTAAAAAAAACTAAGTGATTCATTTTGGGGTAAAATTTAGATCCCGAACTTCGCAAAAAAGCATCACAATAACTCTGCTAAATTTCTAAGCAGGTTTTTTCTATGTTTTTCACATAAAATCAACCCAATTTGAGAAAAACGCGTTTTAAATTTCAAGTTTAATGCATTTAGTCCTGACTGATCATGTATATCAGCACTGTACACTTTATATTTTCAAGTTCTCGCTTTTTTGTCAAAAAATTTTGATCATAAATCAAACAAGGACAGCCGGTTGCTGTGCAAATACCAAATAATGTTCCAACCATGTTCTTAAAAAAATGTTTTTGGATGTTTTTTGTTTGTTAAAAAATGTTGTTTTTGTGCGTGGTGTAATAAAAAAAATCTGCATAAAAGCTTAAATTTAGACATATTTGACAATCACATAAAATAAAGCCGATCGCACAACGGTATTGACGAATTATTACTAAAAAAAACAAAGTTCAATTTTTTTTACAGATACGGGCACTAGAGCAAAACTAAACTTCCATAATTTATACGTCTATAATATGTCTGCTTGTTTGCTTTACTGGCTGAAATTAAACTAATATGCCGGTTTTTCTTGACACTGTTTAGAACTTTTTGATGTCCTCCGAATCAGGACTCAGAGGGCTTTGAAATGATAAATCACTCGGCAATTAAGATGTTTTATTGTGTTTTTGGTTGAAAAAGAAATAAATCCTGCACACTTACTTTAATTGCTCGAAATTAGACCAAAATTCAAATGCTTCAAACTGATCACTTTCGATACCGAGGAAAAATAGTTCCAATTTTTTTAAAAGTTTTGTTTGAGTCCCGACTAAAAGGGCTTTGATATGTTTTATCCTGCGACCCAATCCGATGGTTATTTGCGGTACCTGATTGTGTGAAAAACAAAAAAAGAACATAATTACACCCAATTACAAAGTTTCTCCCCATTTTCAACGGTCGGAATAAAATTATTCATCAGATGATTTAGCAGATGTCGAGTTACACTTCAAAAAAAATCAACGGATTACACAAAAAATCGTAATTTCTAAATTGAATGTTCTCTATAACAACGACAAAAAACTTCTGGCAAGCCAGGCTATCACATTGTAGACCACTTGATTAGGAGTCACCTCATTTAAACAATGTGTCAATTGAACTGGCTAAGTTCACTTGCTTGTACAATAATAAAAACAAAGGCAGCACTACATGCCTTTTTCAAACTCTGATATAGCGTACACTGTATTTAATTCTTGAAATTCAAATTGCACGATAATCATAATCAATAAGATGGGCTCTTATTATAAGATGGGCTCTTATTATAAGATGGTCTCTTATTATAAGATGGGCTCTGTGTAAAAAATGTCTAAGTAATGACGCTAAATCTTGATCCAATCTTCCAGTATGAAATTAATCTGGACAGCAAAAACCTCCGCCCATTTTTTTCTGGAGAATTTTTTAAAAACTTTTTTAATAGAAAGAGTTTTAATTTCACAAATTGAAGAGCATGTTTGCAAAGGCTTCAAAAATCAACAAATCAATGTTTAAAAAAATTGCCGAATATCGCGGTAAAGGGATGAAATGGATCTGAACATAAAAATTTGAGCGGAAAAATTCACGATCATTCCGTCTGAGTGAAAATTAGTAACCAGAGACGGTCCGTAACAAGCGACAGTTCGTAGCAAGCGGCAGTTCGTAGCAAGCGGCAGTTTGTAGCATGCGACAGTTTGTAGCAAGCGACAGTTCGTAACAAGCAACAGTTCGTAACCAGCGATAATTCGTAACAAGCGACAGTTCGTTACAAGCGACAGTTCGTAACAAGCGACAGTTCGTAACAAGCGACAGTTCGTAACAAGCGACAGTTCGTAACCAGAGACAGTTCGTAACAAGCAACAGGTCATAAAAAGCGACAGTTCGTAACAAGCGACAGTTCGTAACAAGCGACAGTTCGTAACAAGCGACAGTTCGTAACAAGCGACAGTTCGTAATAAGCGACAGTCGAAAACTAACTTCGGTTGATCCGACCACTGAAAGTTTGGAGGAATTTTGTATACAGGTGAGCTTTACTTCAATTTCTTTTTTTATACTTTTTCCTTTTAAAATAAGGCACCTTTAATAATAATCAGAATGTGCCGAATGATATATCGTGTTTAATCCCTTTCAAATGTGATTCGAACAATTTGAGCTTTCCAGGATGCTTTTTCTATCGAGAATTACAGGTTTAAAACGTTTTGTTTTTAGCCTTATTTCAAGCTAGCTAAGTCTGTGAGTAGGAGTTATAACAGGAAAAACTATTGAAGCCCTAAAAAAATTATTTTTACACCGTGAAAACATTCGAAGTTTTAATTAGCGCTTTTTTCGCAAAATAAAAGAATGAAAACTTTGATCACTCGAGGTCTACTTGTAAGCTTTCGTCAGTTTCTCTTATCACATCACGCGCAAAAAAAAACAACACGAAAATTGAAGAAAAACGATTTTAACATAGAGTCGAAGCTGCAGTTCGCAAACACTAGCGAGAACACGACAAACAGCAGCTCTTTAAAGTGCAATAAGTAAAAGTAGAAGCAAACCTCGAATTAAAAAAAAATCGCCTACATCTCGATCTGCGACCTATAGATTATGAGAAGCCAGAAATAAGCCACCAGTAATGCAGAGAACAGATGCTAAGAAACTTCAAATGCTACAGATCGTGATTATAGCGAAAGTGCAACCAAATACGTGAAAATTTTTAATTAACCTTTTTATTTGTGAGTTAGGTTAGAAAAAAAGAAGGTTCGTACTAACACGCTAACTTTCGCATGCTTGTTAGTGTAAAATCATTTTTCAAATCTATGGGTCAATCAGGTTTCGCTTCATTTTAGATATTGGCAAAATTGTTTTTACTAATGAGATATAAAATGAAAATGGAAAACAATTTTTTTTGTCTGTGAGTGGATCAACGTAAGAAGCACTCGACTACGGGATAAAATATACAAACTTAAATAACAAATGTAACCTTTCTACAAAGAATAAATCCTTTCCAAAAACCATCTAACACACTTTCTAAATTCTTTAATTAGTTATTGTGTTCGTGGGCTAAAATATGATGAAAAGGAGTAAAATGGTTATGAAAAGAACTATTATAATGACCCATAATACAGTAGTGTTCGATTTTTCCAGCACCAAATTCACATGTCTGTTTTCCTTGTGGAATTTCGAATGAACAGTTTCAGTTTTGTCTTTTATATCCTCAATCAGGTCATTCTGATCATCAACTTCGTCTCCGATTGCGGTGGCCATGCGTTTAGTCCTGGCTAGACTCTGGCTGATTGCGTCCAGACCTCTGTCTTGTTCCTCAATTACCCGCTCCTGGTCATTTCGGAGCTCATCCACACTTAGGGTTCCCCTATTGGGTCCAAAGAGATCCCCGCCCCCTGAATCCCAGTCTGAATAGTTCATGCTTCCCTAGATATGCAATTCAATATACTCTCTAGTGCCAGACGCGTGTTTGCTTGCTTTGTTCACTTTGACACAAAATCTGAAATGCATTCTCAATTCAGGACATGAAAAGGATGTCTCCACTCAAAACATTGCTCTTTCTGACCATGTTACTGAAGCACTTAAACGTTGCTGCTTCTAATAGTTTGCACGCATGATGCCATATGCCTAATGCTATTTTTAGACTCAATACTAAGATATACAGACTCTCTCAAACAGTTTCGAACAGCAAGTATAAATCAGCGATTATATTACTGATACAAAAACCTATACTTTTTCTATTTATTCCTTAGTACTGAAACCTGCAGTACTGCAACTCACGCTAATAGCTATTTTTTCAAACTTAACCCTCCTTTTTTCAATGATTGGATCTTAATGATTCTCGGGTTTTGAAACAAAATGTTGATGTAAATGTAATTTGAGACGTTGATAAAATATAAATTTATCATTAATACAAATATTGTGGGATCAAATTAAGAAAAGCGCCAGATGAAAACGGTCAAAAATTTACACAATTACACGTTTCTTCTTTTCAGACATCAAAATGGACAATTTTGTTCCAAAATGATTCATAACATAACACTCGTATGTTTCAATGTAATTTAACTCTGGTAGCTGACGAAAAGAAGCCTAATAAATAGTTCATATTTGTTTCAAGCATTACAGTTAATTATTTGATGAATTTGAAAAAATGAATCAAACTATAAGTTAGTTTAGTTTGGTAGGAAAGGAGGATCTCTTTAACTATTTTCCCCACGTATGGTACTTAGTAACGAATATACACCCCTAAAAAGGATGCATTGAGCTGTAAAGAATATAAGAGCTTTATCCTTAGAATAGAAATTATAAAAAATATTATAAAAATAGTGTGAGATCCGAAAAGGATATAAAAACGCACCAAGAGTGAAAGTAGTTGTTCAATTTGGGACTCCAGTCAGATTATTAGAGTTGATATAATTTATTTTTCAACTCCCAAACTTGAACAAGTACAACAAACAATTGATATGGACGAATTGGACAATTCATTTTAAGACAGAATGGCTTTTACTACTGGCATCAGCAATAAATTCGCAGGGAACGAGTATATAAGTATTTTTATGTATCAAATGGTCACATGAAAATCAACTGTCTACAAAACTACAATTCATAATTTCTCAAATTTTATGAAATTTTAGGTTTCCATGGCTGTAATAAATATTATCTTACGTAATTCGTTGCGCAAAACGAATACAAAACATACGGTTGGCTTCGACTCATGAAGATGTAATTTTTGCGAACAATGCTTCTACCTTCATTGTTGATTTCAACACTGTTGAAACTGAACGAACTCGATATATATAACAGTATTTTCATTGCGTCCAAATGCAAAGAGGTCAAAGGAAGAAAAATCACATTTCATTAATTCGGTGGGGATGAGATTTCAATCCTGGATGGAGATACACGCATTTAACATATCTTCTTAATTATAGACAATTGTTGATAAAATGGGATTGTTGCATTGAATAGGTTGAATATTCCGTCCATCTGATTCGCAAATCGCCGAGCTCAGATGCCTCCGCAGCAAGATGGTTTACTGCTTCCCCCGGTGGGAAAAGACTGCTGTACTGAAAGAGGGGGTAGGGTGGGGTTCGGGTCGGGCTCTGTCGGTCGTGCAGAAATGTTCCGATAGATCGCTGAAAAGCACTCATAACTCAATAAAAAAGATTGTTACCAAAAGCTATCTTGAAACCCTTCGGGCTGTCAAATTACCTGTAAGAATGTGTGTGAACGCCTGCTCTACATTTGTTGAGTCTAGTGCCGAAGTCTCGATGAACGATAAGTTATTTTGCTCTAAAACAAATTGTAAGTGTAAACAAAGAGGCAAAGCTGCGCTTTTAACCACTTGAGATACAAAACCAGAAAAACGTTAAGTCGCAACTTTTTTTTCTAAATTCGAAACTTTTGAAAAAACTAGATCTATCAACATGAATTAGGCTAGTTTTGAAACGAACAGGTGTCAGGACAATAGAATGTGATATTAGAATCGGAAGAAAAATTACCGAGCGGTAACAAAGCCGAAAATATTTTAGCAGAAACCATTTAAGGCGAAAAAAAATCAACAAGACTTAAGGCTTTAAAAATTAGTCACTCTCAAATTACACATACACATACAAAACTTTTTCGCTCTTCGAAAGACCCAATATGAGGTCATCCTATATAATTTGGGCCCGAAACCTATCAAGCCGAGAAACAAAAAAAAGCCGAAAAAGCCATGAAAAACTTGATCTTTTATTTCTTCAAGACTTTTAAACCAATTTGTGCAAAATAGTGAGCATAAAAAATATATTTACCTTCAAACGACTCAACATTAGGTCACTAAGCCGATAAAATTATGCAAAAAAAATATACGAAGTTAAGAAATTACAAACACCAAAGGTAAATCAAAACACTAAAAGCAACTACAATGTGAAAAGCGTATAGCAAAAAAAGTTATACAATGTGACAACTAAGCCGACAAAACATAAGCAGACAACTAACAAGCCGACAATAAGATCTGAGCCAAAATTTGTCCGATAAAAAGTATCAATTTTTTTTTTCTAACTCTTCCGCTTTTTTGCATGATCAATGCTTCAAAGACAGCAAGTTACCGGGGGTTGGCACTCTAGTCTTGTATCTAAATACCAAAACTTTTTCGCTTTAGCAATCAAACATAAGCCAACAGACTGTCGGAAAAAAAGAGTCATGCACGCAAGTAAACAGAAAAAGTAATGGGTTACATAGTACATTCAGAGGCAGATTCAAGTTAAACAGCTGAATCGCTCTTTGTTATACTTCGTACAGTATTTATAACTTATTTCCAAGCCAAATTTTTAGGCAAAAGAAGCGTAAAACTTAAATTTTTGAATATCATTTCATCTGGCAGAGCAATGTATTTACGAAACTTAGCATGTACAAATGATTGAAAATGAAATGACTATTTTATACTTTATAATTCTCAAATTTAATAGACGAACTATACTCCCAAAAAGCCACCTATTGTAACATGTCACTAAATACTGACTTGTTTTTGAAAGAAATTCAAATTTCGAGTTCCTAAAAGAATCTGACCATCAGGCTCTGAATTTCAAGAAAAATTTTATGATTGTCACTTTTTTTGATAAAATTAACCCAATTTGAAAACAGTGGATCAACAGATTAACTTTATCTTCCGGTGAGAAATCTGAAAATAAATTCCACGCCGCGACCTTCAAACTTTCGCTTTTCGACAGTGAAGTTTGCTTTCCTCTTAACAAAGGGAATGAAGTGAACTTGAAAAAATAAAATTTCAAACCGCAAAAAAATCAAGTTTAGCGCGAGCAAACTTTCCTGAAAAAAAAACAAAAAAAAGAACAACAAGTAACACAATCACCAAGACCTATATAAGAGTATTCACTATGTTCATGACTCTTAAAAATCCGTAATTGAAAATGATTTTTCACTTAGGATAGAAAAAAAAGCCGGCTTAATATCCAATTAATTTGCTCATATTTGTTTACTCGAAATCATTTCTGTTATCGCAAAATTTAGTTTGAGTGTTTATAAGCATGTCTCAAGAACCTATTACCCCACGCGCGAATGATGGTAAGATTGCTCAATTGGTCACGCATAACGGTTGCTTAGCATAGCCCTGAATTTTATCAAACCTGTCGCTCAGCAAAAATTTTGTGAATAAAATAAATTCAAAATAATTCACTTTGCAATTAACCCCTAGACAACTTTAGGGGTTCAATCGAGACTCACAAGTACAGTTTCAGAACTTCGTTTGTACATGAGTTCACAAAAAAAATTATTTTTTTACACAGGGGCGAAGCTCCGCTTAGCAAACACTACCAAGAAAACGACAAAAAAGCAGCTCTATAAAGTGAAATAAGAAAAGTATAAATAAGCCTTAAAATTTTGAACTTTTGCTGTAGCGGATTTCATTTCATCAATTTCCTATTATTTAAAAAACAAACAACCGGAAAAAGTCAAATTAAGGGTTCAAATGCATACAAGAATAACCTAACGATTATACGCTTCTAATATTCATGAAGACGGCAATGAAAAGCGAATTACTCAGCTTGATAATCTAACAAAAAGCTCGAAAAATCAGTTTGGTAGTTATCATCAGTCGTATCAATGTGGTGCATATGTTCATCACAGTAAAAAAATAAACAGAACAAAATATTCTCAATTATCAAAAAAAAACGAAAACCAATTCTCAAAACGAAAACAAATTCTCAACTATCAAAAAAAACACATAAAGGGGACAGTGATGAAAATCACCAATTCTGAAGTCCGAAGAAACGACTAGCAAACTCATATTTGAAATACAAAAAAAAAATAAGAAACATCAGAATCAGTTCGGTAATTGTTATCATTTTTGTCAAAGTGGTGCATAACTTCGTCACAATCAAGCAAAGGCAACAATTTGCTAATAATTACAAAACGAACAACCGGAATGAGTCAAACTCTAAGTGTTAAAATACATACATGAATAATCTAACGATTCTAAGCTTCTAGTAGTCATGATAAAGACGGCAATGAAAAGCGATTTACTCTGATTGATAATCTAACAAAAAGCTCAAAAAATCAGTGTGGTAGTTGTGATCAGTCATATCAACGTGGTGCATATCTTCATCACAAAAACTACCAAACAAAACAAATACGTCGCATTTTAAAAAAGCATGTAAAAGCCATACCAATCAACTTGAAGTTCGCAACACAAATTGGACAGTGATATAAATTAGAAACTCTTAATTCCCATAAAATAACTAGCAAAATCAAATTTGAAATATGAAAAAAAATTGAGTCATTACATGCAGTTCGGTATTTGTTTGCAATTTGTCAAAAAGGTGCATTATTTTATCACAAAAAAACAAAGGCAACAATTGGCAACCAATTACAATACAAACAACCGGAAACATTCAAACTCAAAAGCGCACCTGGATAAGCCAACGATACCACGCTGCTCATAGTCACGAAAATGGAGCGAATGAAAAGCGACTTATTCTGATTGGTATTCTGAAGAACATAGCCAATCGAAGATTGAAAAGAGTAATGAACGCAAGTAAAAAAAAACACTGACTTTCTTGAAAAAATCTCAACTTTCGAATTTCAAAGAAAAAATTAGATGCAACGATGGATTAAAAATTAATCAACTGTGTTAACTTAATACTAATCGAAATTCAATGCACAAGCTATCAAAAAGATGTAAATGAGCCCTAAAATTGGCACCAAAATTTGCGACTTATGTTAGAAAAAAGAATAGTCGTACTATTTATTACACTACACTCTCCAACACTCGCAAGTGTAAAAACTATCCCAATTAAAGAAAACTACAATAACAGATATTTTTTTTCATTTCACTGGGAAATTTCAATCTTAAGATTCACGTTCGAACCTGAAAATCATTCACATTTTTTGCGCAATTTACGCTTTTGTAATTGGGAGCGTGAATTGACTTCTTTTAATAAAGGAATTTGAATTGAAGTTAAAGAGAAAGCAAAACTCGAAAGATCAAATTTGGCTGGATCAAATCTGAACACTTTTTTATGAAAAAAACACTATATGAAAAATATCACGACCTAAATAATTGTCTCCAAATAGTCATAACCATGATGACTAGTTTCATACAGAGGCTTGCGATACATAAGAGAAACAGTCTCAAAAAATACATTCAGTTCAGCTACAAAATCAGAAATTTCAAAACCACTATTCTGATTGTGATACAAACTGTTAATACCCTAAAAATTAACTCCTCATCATGAAATCATCGTGCATAACACAAAAAAAAACATAAAAAAGAAGGCTTATCAAAACAGGAAGCACGTGTAGAGCTAATGAAACTTCGCGTGCTGAAATCTGAACAGAGTTATTTACGGGAAAAAAGCCTAGTACCTGGTTTCAACACACTTGCTAGCGCAAGTGTAAAAATCTAATGGTGAAGCCTAAATTTATCGAATTTCTACTTCACCACCAATAATAGTAATCATGATCGCAATCACGAGTATATCCAGGGAAAAAATGTAGAAAAAAATCCAATGGTGAAGCCTAAAGCAACACGATTGGGGGGTTATTTATTTACCACATACATAAGTAAAACGGTGAAACTCCTTAAATCAGTATTGCAGTATCGACGCAAACTCTTACCTTCAATCACCAGGGACACTCATGAGGTCAAAATTTCGATGTACAAAACTTTCACACAGGCGAAGCTGAGCTTCGCACCACTTGCGATACAAGAATTAACGACTATGGTTAAAACATTTTTAGTCGCAACAAAGAAAAAGAACTGAACTTAAAAAGAAAGCAAAAGTCAAAACGCGAAAAGGTTTTTGTTAAGGAACAAATTTATGTTTTACAAGATGATCTAGTGGGGTTGAATTTGCGCATTCACAAAAAATGCCAGAGTCTTATTGATCTCAAAAATACTACCGGACATTTCAAGGAAAAAGAACTGAATTTTTAAAATAATAAAAAAACAAACAGCGAAAAAGAAAATTTGAGCCTGCACTAAATTGTAAATGAAAAAAATATATATTTACAGGGAGGCAGCTTCGCTTCGCAAACACTTGCGAGAACACGACAAAAAGCAGCTCTAAGTGCAATAATAAAAAAAAGAAATAAGCCTCGAATTAGCAAAAATGCGACTACGTCTGAGATTCGAACCTGTGACCTACAGATTAAGAGGTTCACACACTAATCACTCAGCCACAGAAGCTTACAAGCTATAAACACTAGCCACAAATTAAGCAGAGAACAGATGCTTTACAATCTCCAATGCTACATTGATTTTCGATTTAGGTTAGAAAAAAAGGTTCGTAAAAATACACTAAGCTGATCGCAAGTGTAAAAACAAAACAAAATTATTAAAATCAGACTTGGTAAAATGACAAATCACAGAACTTTAAATTGTAGGTAAAAGTTTAAAACGAAAATACAGTCTATCCTTTACAAAGTAAGCCGATAAAAAACAGAACCACATAATATAAATTCCATTTAAAAACGGAAAATCACTGACGGAAACTAGGCCAAAAATAACAAATCCACAAAAAGGTCAATGTTTTTTCAATCTTCATTGAAAAAAAAACGAATGCCGGAAACGGACTACACCTACTTTGTACCTAAACGAAAAAAGTTCTATTTAATTTTCCAAAACTGAATTTTACCATTTCTACAAAATTAACAATTCTGTGAACAAGTTATTCACGGTGAAAGAAAATCTAGTTCCCGATTGCAATACCCTTGCTTATCACAAGGATAATCAAGCCCAAACTTTTACCACGCATCGTTAGTTTTGGGGAAAATCATTCCCTACGATACCCTTGCAGTCAGAAGTTAAAATTTGAGTATAGCGGAACTAAGAGCCACAGTTTTCAGTTTAATTTTGGTAAACCGTTTGAACTGCTTTGATGAAACAAGTTTTTGGAGAATGTTTTAAATCGCCTGCACCCTGTTTATTTAGTGATCCTCGTTTTCGTCGAAGAGAAGAATCCACCAAACTGAACTATTCAATCACAAAAGAACACTAACTGTTTAAACTGAGGAAAAAATTGAGACTCCGTCATGAAGTTCCAATATGAAGTTTCTTTTCAGCAGCAAATGGTAGATTATTATTTGAACATCTGGCAATCGATTCAAAAAATATGCCAAAAATAGAGTTTGAGTTTTATTTTTATTAAATAGAGAGTATGCCAGTTTGATTTTTGAGCGATTTTGAAAACCTTTTTCATCGCAAAGCAATTCAAACAGTATATTAAAATCAAACTGAACACTATGATGGCTACTTCAACTAAACTCAAGCCATCTATCTAAAAATCCATAAAATCGGCCTTGCAAATTATAACTCAAAAGTTGCATGGCTCAACTTTATAACTCAAGTTGCATGGCTCAACTTTTCAATAAATGAATACTCCTACTTCTAGATGAACCGACAAAAAAAACTATAAAAAGCGCAAAAACAATCCGAAATCTTACAACTGAATAACCTGCACCTTTAGAAATTTGACCGACACGAAGCGAAGCTTCGCACTACTTGCGATGCAACACAAACATACCATGACAAATTAGCTGACCGGAATTGAGACGAAAGCTGTAGATAATTTTTTGTATCAAACTGATCTACAAAAAATTGTCGTACACTGTTTTGAATAAACTCCCTTTCAAGAAAATATGCGAAGTAAGACAATTGCAAATGAATTAAGCATCGAAACAAAATTAGCAAAGCCGATAACTCTTCAGCAGACACATTGCGCCGAAAGAAAATTGTTTCTATTGGACACGAAAAAAATGCTTTTAAGCCCCGCCCAAATGATTAAGATAAAACATTTTTGCTCCTCTAACGACTCAAAAAGAGGCCTCTTAGCCAAAATATTTTAAGCCGAAGAGAAAAAAAAATTAAAATTCGAATAGAATGGGCATTTAAAATGCAGACGTGCTCGAAATTTTATGATCGTTGAAGAAAGTACAAATGGAGATGACCAATAATTTCAGTCACCCGGTGCGGTGCAAAAAGTTATTTACGGGAAAAAATCCGAACCCGATTGCAACACTCTTGCTTATCGCAGGGGTTATCACGTCAAAATGCTTGAGAACGAATTCTTCCGTAAGCAAGCATTCGCGCTGGAGCAGGGAGATACGATGTGGGTTACGTAGCAGTAAGTAGACAACCGCGTATACATACTAATCAGCACGTTGACAAATACTATATCAACCAATCAGAATCGAGACCAGAAAGCAAAAGGACGCAATTAATAATTTTTTACTTCGTAAGTTTGTTTTCTCATCTCGATTCTGATTGGTTAATATAGCATTTGTCTACTTACTTACGAGTATGAATACACGGTTTTCTACTAACAGACCCCTCTCCTAGGGTGTTATTGTTAGATTATGTGATTCCTAGAGTGTTATTACAGAACCCCTTTCTTTAATTTCGGTAGTTATTACTTGCATTGTTGCAAAAACAGGATACCTTGAAAATTCTTCTTTTGCAGTAATCAATTTCCTTAGAGCGGAAATCTTACCGGCAAAATGCTTTGACTCTTCTGTAGGCACAGATCGTAAGTGCCTCAAATCGCTTTTGTTACCAACAAGCATGATAACGATGTTACTATCAGCATGATCACGAAGCTCCTTCAGCCATCTTTCTACATTCTCGTAAGTCATGTGTTTCGCTATATCATAAACAAGAAGTGCACCTACAGCTCCTCTGTAATAGGCAGAGGTTATAGCTCTGTATCTTTCTTGGCCGGCTGTATCCCAGATCTGGGCTTTTATCGTTCTGTTATCTACCTAAAGTATCCGAATCGAGGGATTAAATAAATAATTTCTGAGCAAACAAAATCTGATGCAACATGAACTTACTTGAATTGACCGAGTAGCAAATTCGACACCTATGGTCGATTTGGATTCCAAGTTGAATTCATTTCTAGTAAACCTTGACAACAGATTACTTTTCCCGACCCCACTGTCGCCAATGAGCACAACTAAAAGCCAAACAAGGGGAAAAAGTCAGCCTACGCATCTTAAAAAGTAAAACTTTCAAGTTTTTTTTTATAAAACCATACCTTTGAACAGGAAATCATATTCGTCGTCTCTGCCAGCCATACTGAACCTGTAATGAACATTTAAATAAAGAAAGAATTGCTATAATTACCCCAGCTTAATTGCTGCGTTCATATTTGGAAGACGGCTATCTCCCCTATAACCTCAGCAGGCTACTAAAACAAAGTTTGTAGTAATGAGCAACAAAATACCATCAGCAGCACGCATCCTTTCATCACACTGTCTAGTCAAAAATCTTCGGGTTATAGTAGTAGTATAGGATTTAGAGCATCTGCTCAAGGGCTTTCACCCGTCAGTTTTCAAGTGGCACTAGTTTTTTCAAGGGATTACAGTTTCCACATGGACATTGCACTCTCCACGAGCAAGAGCCAATCTCGTTGAATCTGTCACGGAAGAATGCGTGGTATAGTTTGGCGATTCTGCTTTTGTTGATGATTTCATCTGCAAACAGGCTTCGTTGCACTAAATTTAACAGTTTTGGTGCACGGATCCAGAAGTTTTCGTCGCATTTCTTGAAGCGCTGCTGGGAGATATAGAGTTCGGTCTGCTGTCTTGTAAGCCCTCCACGGCTCTTTGTCACTGGCATGTTTTTGTTTTTGGCCTCATAGTTTCCTTCTAGCACAGAGATGAGGTATAGAATATCATGTGCACTTCCATGTACATTGATAGAGGTAATATTTTCAAGCGGAGAAGTCCTTCTGTACAATCTGCAGTCGCGTTGGTTATCCATTTGGTGGCTTTCCTCAGTACTTGCTCTATCTTCCTCATTTCAATTTTTGAGGGGTACCATACCTGCGATGCGTAAGTAAACACTGGTACCATACCTGAGGGGTACCATACCTGCGATGCGTAAGTAAGCACTGGGGTACCATACCTGCGATGCGTAAGTAAGCACTTAGCCTAACTGTTGTGAGAAACTTATTAAATAGTTTGTTTTCAAATAAAATATGCCTGGTACGAGGTCAAGATTGGCCTCAAAGAATCATGAGATGTTCACCATCTGTAGCAAGCCAAACGGTGATAACTGGATATCGTGCGAGTTATGTGAGAGGTGGACTCATAGTGAGTGTATGGGCTACTCTGTGGATGAGTCCAAATTCCTGGAACGATCTGCAAATGTGAAATTCATGTGTACTGGTTGCTCAATTACCGGATCAAAACTGGGCGGTGGGAAATGTCACGAGGACATCACTCGTGGTATTGAAGAGCTGAAGGATACACTTCAAATAGCCAAGTCGGTAATGCAGTCAATCGCAGATGCATCGAATGCTCCTCAAAATCAAAAGGCTAAGTATTCAGATGTGCTTAAATCAGGTAATGAATACGCTCTTGAACTACGTTTTAGCGGCATACCTGAATACAAAAGTTCGAATGAAAACGAAAAAATAGAGAGGGCTAAAATTTTTGAACACGAGGAAAAAGCCTTATGCGAATGCATAAACAAATTGGGTGTTAATCCGAATGAAATTTCTTCATTTCGTAGACTTGGTAAATTTGACCCAAACTTTAAAAAACCCAGGCAGTTATTAGTCAAGTTTAGAAACATGTATACAGTTGACAAAATACAAACTCGCGCATCACTGTTTTTAAATAACAGAGCCGAAACCACATCAGACTGACTATTGAAAAATTCAGGGGATATACAAGTAATTTGTTACAATATCAGAAGCATTTTCAAGCTGGACCGTAGAAAAACCTTTTCAAATTTTATACTTTTGAATAACCCTGATATCGTTTGCTTATCCGAAACCTGGTTAACAACTGAAATATCGGAGACAGAACTATTTTTAAATGAATATAATTGCTTTCGATCCGACTGCAAAGCAAAAATTGTCCAGACATCACATGGAGGAACTATGATATGTGTAAAGAGATCGTTTGTGTCAGAAAATGCAAATTTTGGATATGATACAAACGGTTCAGTCGTAGGGTGCTATGTCACTTCAGGAAATCTAAAAATTTTGGTCATCTCATGTTATCTGCCCCCTGCAAACAGTAAATATTCACTTAATACGGAAGATATACACAAGATGTTTTCCGAAATTTTGAAACTCAGAAGTAAATGTGACGGTTTGATTATTTATGGGGATTTCAATTTCCCAACAATAAATTGGAGTAGCATTTCTTCGCAAAATTCGATTGAAGCTAATTTTCTAACTTTTATCGAGAAATTTGATCTAATTCAAAAAATTGATTTTCAGACAGCTGCAACAGGAATTCTTGATCTGTTTTTTGTGAGTGAAAATATTCAGGTTACTGATATTTGCAAATTTCAAAATGAAAATAGTTTCACAAAAATGTCAAACCATTATCCGATAAAGACGAAAGTCCATATTGAAATATCCTGCTTATACCAGCGAAAATATGTTAAGGAGTCAACATTGAGTTTTTGCAACGGTGACTACAAATTATTGAATGATTTAATTATTGATAACCCCTTCGATACTTATTGCTGGTCAAATCCAAATGTCATAGTAGAACATTGATACAAATGGTTGTTGGATCTCTTATCGAGTACGCACAAACATCGTACACCCTAAACGCACAAAACATCGTACACCCTTACCCCCTGGATTAGTCAATCAACCTCCCATATGATAAAATGTTTGAACACTGCTCGGAAAAAACACAATGAGTCACATACTAAAGTAGTGTTATTAAAATCGAAAACAGACCAGCTTATCTAAATTGATAAAGTTAGTTATGAAAATCCATGGCAGCTGAAAGATCAACCGGCAAACTTTTCAAATATATTAGGGCTTTCCGAAAATCAGTTTTGCCTAGTATACTGCATTATCAAAACGAAAATGCAGATACGGATGTCTCAAAAGCAGCTTTGTTTTCAAAATTTTTTGCATCAGTATATGTGGAGTCGTCAATTTTTAACGAAAACGATTGCAGTAACAAAAATCAACCAATTTCAGAAAATATCGATTTTTCAGAACAAGATATTTTTGAAATATGCAAACTGTTGAATGTAAATAAAAGCAAAGGCCCGGACGATCTACCTCCTTTTCTATTCAAAAATGCAGAAACATTATCTCATTCAATCTATCAGATATTCCGAAAAACTTCTCAAACCTGTATTTTTCCCGCATGTTGGAAAAAAGCCATCATTAGCCCTTTGCATAAAAAAGATGACAAAAGTGACAATGAAAATTACAGACCTGTTTCTCTGCTCTCAGTAATCTCGAAAATTCTAGAACGAATAATTTTCAAGCGATTATATGAACATTTTGAAAAGATTTTCCACAAGGCACAGTACGGATTTCGGAAAAACCGATCGACCATTGTTCAGCTTTTAAAATTTTTGCAGCTAGTCTTTAACGGTCATGAAAATGGCGACAGTATCAAAACGGTTTTTACAGATTATAGTAAGGCTTTTGACCGTGTTGACCACGGAATTTTGTTGCGGAAATTATTTGAACAAGGAGTCAGAGATAAAAACTTGAAATTAATTAAATCATACCTAACAGAAAGGTCTCAAGTCGTACGAGTAAATGGCGAAATATCAAATTCAGAAAAAGTAACGAGCGGTGTACCCCAGGGCAGTATTTTGGGACCCTTGTTTTTCTTGGTTTTCATAAATGACCTGCCTGACAAATGCAATACAGTTATACCATTATTATTCGCAGACGATGCCAAATTCATTAGCATAAATTTGGGGAGGGATGAATTTCAAAAATACCTTGACAATGTGAAGCTATGGACCCTGGAAAACAATATGCCTTTCAACGTAGATAAATGTACGCACCTGAATTTTGGGAAAAATCGATTTTCTTTTAATTTCAATAATAGAGTGTAGACTGTCAGAAAGACCTTGGACTAATCGTATCAAATGATCTAACATGGAGCCAATATATGGAAAAAGCATGCGTAAAGGCAAACAGAGTGTTTTTCATGATAAAGAGGAATACATCAAATCTACACTGGAAAGCAAAATTAAACCTGTATAAATCGATGGTCATTCCCGTAATAATGTATGCTAGTTCTTGCATAGGTCTAAACAAATACGTCATGACACAATACGAGATAATTCAAAAAAGGGCGGTAAATTAGATTTTGCATAGTAAACATACCAATTACAAAGATAAACTTAAACGACTACAAATTTTACCACTGCCCATGTACATACAATTGAACAACCTGTTACTAGTGGCAAAACTAATTTTGAAACGATACGATACTTATATGATTGATGTTCCACAAAACATAGATTTCTCTCGCTATCCTATGTTTCAGCTAAAGCGTCCATCAAAGTACAGGTGTGAACAAAATTTCTTTTACCAGACATGTCGTCTTGCGAATGCACTTAGGATAGATTTGCTAAATTGGTCTGGATTGAAAGCCGCCCTGCTCAAAGTGTTCTGGATCAAATTTGCACTCTATGACGAAAAAAATAAATGCACATGGAAGCTTGCATGTGATTGTGCGACAAACAATTGCAGAACTAGACTCGCGATATGAGACGTGAAGGATGACAGGGGCCTGGACCCCTTGTGGAAACACTAAATCCCTACTACTACTACTACTACTACTACTACTACTACTACTACTACTACATATCCAATCTCGTCGTTGAGTCTGTCACGGAAGAATGCGTGGTATAGTTTGGCGACTCTGCTTTTGTTGATGATTTCATCTGCAAACAGGCTTCTTTGCACTAAATTTAACAGTTTTGGTGCACGGATCCAGAAGTTTTCGTCGCATTTCTTGAGGGGGATATATTTCTCTGTTGGGGGATATAGAGTTCGGTCTGCTGTCTTGTAAGCCCTCCACGGCTCTTTGTCACTGGCATGTTTTTATTTTTGGCCTCATAGTTTCCTTCTAGCACAGAGATGAGGTATAGAATATCATCCACTTCCATGTACATTGGTAGAGGTAATATTTTCAAGCCGAGAAGTCTTTCTTTATAATCTGCAGTCCCGTTGTTTATCCATTTGGTGGCTTTCCTCAGTACTTGCTCTATCTTCCTCTTTTCAATTTTTGAGGGGTACCATACCTGGGATGCGTAAGATAGCACTGGTACTACATATCAAATCTCGTTG